CTCATCTTTAAATAAGAGTGGAGTTGTACTTTATTTTTAAAGTAATAAAAATTCCTAGTGAAATATTGAAAGATGTCAAAATACATAATCGAGAGTACCAAAAGATCTGTCTACCATTTCATAAAGTTGGGTAAACATATATTAAGAAATCCGATTGTTTCACAGATAATCAAATATATTGACCATAAAATGAGATCGTTAGTTTGCAGGGTATAAGTTAGAAGTAGTTTACAAAGAGCAAAATTACACAAGGTTAGGTCAAACTAGGAAGGAGCAAAATTGTTAAACGAAGAATATTCAGAAAGTTATGAAGTCTTAAATTGACTATCTGAAATAAACTAATATGTCTTAAACTAATCATAAATACCTGCAGAAACTTGATTTCACTTACTCAAAAACTAAATAGACTTATGACATATGGCGTCAGGTAGCAATCAGGAAAGATTTATCCATAAGAACAGGATTCTTGTTTTCATACTTAAATTACATATGAATAAATTTTCTAGTTTAACGTCAGCCAGTTAAGCCACTTCAGTGCAAAGTTCTCATTCAATCAAGTCAGTGAGATATCCACAAATTAGTTTAAGCCTTACAATTCACCAAATCGTGCATCAATTAAGCAACCAATTAGATGACTATTAGATACAAAACCACTTTACTCCACCATGAAATCGGACTGAATATAATTCTTAATATGAAATACTTTTAAATCGTAAAACAAAAGTAGAGAGCAACGCAGTTGGAAAATCATAGTATCTATTTATACGTGCAATAAAGTTTCACATAGACTTATTGTGTAAAGGCTTTTTCGATACTAATTCGTCAAATGAATCAAAATGGGCGAAATCAACTTGAATTCTCAAATTAATAGGTAAAAACCAGTTATGTAGGTATATAGAGTTACATGTTTGAAAAGCCAAGACAACCTTCAGTACATTATTCTAGAGAATCTGACAATACTAGTATAGGGGTTGTGGAGATTATTAAGTTTTTGATTGAGATCATGAACCGATTGATGTTAGACCATCACAATTGAAAACCTGGAAGCACTGGACGGCCGTTTCGTCCTATTGTGGGACTCCGCAGCAGTGCGCATCCACGATCCCGCGAGCGGGATTCGAACCCGGGGCCTTTGGTCTCGCGCGCGAACGCTTAACCAACTGGACCACTGAGCCGGCATCCAATGGTGACAGTTTCTAACATCAACCAATCTGACAATACTTTTGATATGAGCGTAAGATCCACCAACACTAAGTTTGAAAACAAATTCGATAAAAGAACGAATGATACATACTTCGGTTCACAGGAGTTGAATACCATTATAACTTAAAGTCATGATTTGGAAATAAAAGTAAATAAAGTGTTTGTTGAGAATGGAATTTAACTAAAATACCAGGAAGTACTAGAAAAATGTTTTATTCGGGAGTAAGACTCCTCCTTATTAGTACAGATTATCTTCAGCTTTCGTAGGGAGTGAAATGTCTTTAAACAACTAAAATCAAAAGTTAGTGATTGCCAAATTTTTTTACAAATTAAGTCGATATCTGTTTTATGACGTTGGCATTAACCTAATCACGTGACACGAATTATAGTCAATGTGAAAATTTCAATAAGTTGGTTAGTCCAACTAATAAAAAGTTGATTTATTATTAAATAATGAAATTATGTATAAATTTTCGGAAAAGAAACTTGATTAAAAGACCATTATTTGACAAAACATTATTATGCAGCATAAATAATAATGAATGTACTTCAACAATAATTTTAGAAGAGTATAACATCATGATCTACTTACAAGAATTCAGAAAGAAACGAAGTGAATAATATAATTTTATACAGTCCAACTAACTGACATTCCATCGTAATGTATTATCTGATGGTTTATCACTATACTGTTTCTTTTCTAACTCTTCAATACGTTCTTGTTTTCTTCTAACTTTTGCAAGATCTCCAATCCCACGTGATTCACTTTCAGCTAATCGGCGTTCGATAGCTTCTACTTGTAATCGTCTACGAGTCTCTAAGTCTACGGATCCCCCACCACCGCCACGTTCCGAGTAGGATTCATAACGGATCTGTGAATTGTCGTTGTTGTCGACGTCGGAACTACGGAAACAACAGAACAGGCGTTCACACTAAGAAGAAATTGAAATAGAAAGTACTCTCATTATAGAATCATTTTGTTAAATAGAAATCTAAGCCAAATAAATTTTTTAACTAAGCCAGAAAACTATTAGGTAAACCAGTTTGTCACTGAATAATGCCGAATCCTGCATTGTAGTCTTTAGGTAGTGATTAAATTCTACAGGTGGAGTTGAAGTGCAGCTATCACTTTTAGGTGACTCAACATCAAAGTTTGACAGATCAGTTATTCCCAGAACAGCTTAACGGTGACATCCTCAATTACTGCACTATTTCGAATCCCACGAGGAACATCGGTTCAATCAAGGTTACAAATATACTTTAATAATGATGAGTTCAAACTAGTAAGAAATGAAAGCTCAGAACTTTCTAGAATTCGACCCAGTAACCGATTAGTTGTGTCATGCCTGGAAAAAACCTGCTGACCAGATGTGGGAGTGTGCTAGGTCTATAAACTTATAAGGGGTTTTGATATAAGTAGGAATATTTGTCTAGTCCCCTCCTAATATTAAAAGCGACCTATACCATTCTCTTATTTGCTGAAGTGTCGACTAATACACTATCCACTTTGTCAATCAGTTACATTAAGTATGTTTGACTCGATCTGTGTAATCAGAGTTTATGTAAAAGTTATACAACCGCTGAAAAATAAGAAGGCACTGAAACTGGATAACTGTTCCGTCATAGTATAAGACCCATCAACAGTGTATATCCACGATTCCACTGACGATTGAGCCCAAGTCTTTCAGATACGTGATGAAAACTATGAAAATTCAACAATCGCTACAAACCTGTAATGCAACTGTAACCAAATATTCACTAATGACCATATTTGAGAGGTAGTTACCGAAGTTCTAGTGAGAAGCCGTGAGAGAAAGGCAGTTAACCAAAAAACAATGGGAGGTAATCGCGCAATATTATGAATTAACCAAAGTTAGATATACAAACCGCCAGATGTCGGCTCAGTGGTCTAAAGGTTCGGACCAGAAGGTCCTGGATTTGATCCCACTCGAGGTATTGAATGGGCATTGTTAAGGAGTCTTATACTACGATGAAATAGCTGTCCAGTGAATACTGGTTGTGTAACTAAGATCAATCAGTGGTGCAAACCATAAAAATTCAATCTCTACAAGCCCCTATATCAATTGGTATAGGTTGTTTTAGTCTCAAGGAGAAAGAGGCAGCACTGATTAACGCACAGATGTAAAGACGAGAAGATTCCCAGAAGCCAGTTTAGATTTCACTGTTGCTGGGTACTAACACAAACAACATCAAACTGCATCTATATAAAAACAGTATCAAACAACATATTTCATTTGCATACACTTCTTTATTTAGATTTATCTATGTCATTTGTGATTTCTGTCTTCAATAAGTTTTGCATACTAAAGAGATCAATTTGTCTACAAAGTAACGGGAATCATATGTAAAATTTACCAGTCAAGAAATATAGGTCCCATGAACATGAAGATAAACCTTAAGAATAAAGTAAAAACAAAAGTCTCGACAAGATTTTATGGCTTATAGTCAAGCAGATATCCCCGAATGTATCAGTTTACTACTATTTAATCGAGTAATTTGCATGTTTATATTACAAAACCGTTATAAAATCTGGTTGTATAATAACGTGCTTGTCTTAATCCCCAATATGGTAATTAAAATTAGTATTTCTAATCACAAATGGACCATAGTTCGGTTATAGTACTTAATTAATCTAAATTATTCTTACCAAGTCTAAGTCTATGTATTTGAAACGCAAAGTCATGCTGTCTATATGAGGGCTAATGATAGGACCTGGCTACCGAGACTCAATCAGATAAAGCTTAATTTCAAACCTGTACCTTGTTGGTTAAAAACTGAGCGTCAGATTAGCCAGAATAACAAATCCGAGGTTGGTTAACGTAAGAAAACTGTCTTGACTTATAGGAATATTTATGTATGAATACATACAAATAATAAATGGTACTAAAACAAAAAAATAATTAGTTTAATTTAGAAATCACATTGAGGGTGATAAACTTAGCATAGACGAGCAAAACGTGACTAGTTCAATATGGCTGGACGTGCAAAATGTGTATCGACCAGTAAGAGAACAGTTAGTTCACGATTATTCGATGAAGCGTACGAAAGAGGATTGTGACGTAAAAACGCGTTACCCATGAGTAATACAGTTATAAAACATAAATCTAACACCGAGTGTTTTAGCCGTTAAGCCAAAGCTATACATTAGTGTCATTTTTTGAAAAAGGGTTTGGTTCTTATTTCTTGGGTATCAGGCACACTTTAAATGTGAAGGCTTATTTTACAACCTGGTTGCCAAAGAGGAGCAGATGGGGTGGGGTTTGAACCCGGGACTTGATGGCTGAAGGTTGAACACCTTAGCTACTAGCCCATGGCTCTATTGACCTTCCCTTCTAGAATTTATGCAAACGTTTGTCTTGGTATACTACAATTAAGAGGGAGGCATAAATACTGAACTGTTTTTCGTCCAGTCTTTAAATAAAAGCAATCTGAGTTGGTTCTTGTCATAATTTTCTACGTTTCACAATGTTTGTCGTGCATAGTAAATGTGGATTAAGACTGATTTCACTTCTGACTTAATGGTAATATTAATTCTTGATTTGTTTAGAATTACCCATGTTCAGAGATAATTTTCAATAGTGACTAACTAATGACGAAAAAGAGTTAAATTAAGAGTTAGCTACGTGACTTTCTCAGTCGTGCAAACGCTTAAATTTTGATAATCTGTAAAGAGACTGGTATTCTACTTCACGTCTATTTTAGTTTGAGCTGGACACAGATATCTTTATCAAACAATTGTTCAGTCAATCAATAACAACGTAACAGAGCAAGAACAATTACCAAAAGGATTATTCATGATTTGAATTTTATTTTACACAAATTATCATACAAAGAATCTGTCAAAATAGCTTATTTCATGTGTATTGAGGGTGAGTGGTTGGGTGGGAGGGTATGACGAGTTTTCATGAAATTATTCACATTTGTCTTGTTGAGTACAATAGTCATCACCATCTTCATCGTCTTCAGATGAGGATGTCACGCTTAATGCACCATCAATCTTTTCCATTTCACACTTAGGGCAATCACACCAAAACAAATAATTTGATGATAAGTATTTACGTCTTGTGTGACGACCACGTGATTGTAGACAATGATCCAAATAAGAGATAGTGACTTCTTCACCTTCTTGAATCGGTGTCAATGCAACCACAGATAATCGACTATTGACTCCACTGAAACGAATTATTGCATTCGGTGAACAACTATGATTAATCCGACCTAAGCGGCAAAGAAGAAAAAGTAATGACGATCAAGCCTTAGAATATAGTAAACTAGAAATTAGTATTCAGTGATAGGGAATATACGAAAGTTGTATACTACACTGATTTCTTTCTGGCACTGATCCGTATTTATACTTAAATATTCATGGACTTAACAATCCACATATCAAACTTCTACGTTCAAATACTGCTAGGTAGGGAAGGATAAAATACCGTCGTCATGAGCCAACTGGGCTACATTGGCTAGAACAAAAGTTCCTCAAGGTTTAACCATGCCAGACAGTTCGGTAGGACTAAAAGCAGCAAACCCAAGGTTTGAAGGCGAAGTCGTACTGCTGAATGTACAGAGGTGTGACGGCAGTAAAATGTTTCCTTCGGACAACCAGCATAACAGCGATGCTGCCTTCCCACAAGGAAGGGTGGGGTTGGAAAAATGCACATCTCGCCTTATACCATGGATCTTCGTCTCCGGCGGTAAGGTCTCAAGTACAGAGCTGACACAAAAATGCTGTGTGACCGGCCTCAAGCAGTTGTCCTTTGGGCACTGCCTTATAGATTAATGATTTCTTCTCGTATAGAAATTCTTTGTCTTTCCAGTGCTACGGCTTGTTTAAGTTACAGCCTATAAGATCAAACACTTAGACAAAAACACATTCTAGTTACCACCATATATGTAACTTCGATAAGGATGTTAACAACTTTTCTTGCACTCAAAAATTCTTTCTTAAACCTAATAATTATCGATGAACTCTCTCAGGTCACTAAGACCACCCCTAATCCAATTCCCTTTTCAAGTACCCCCAGAACCCTTTCGCGATGTGAGCGGCCGGGAAGTGATAACCACACTCATACCTATAACAGCATTCAACACCACTGTATTCATAATCAATCTCCCTCTGTAATTCCGATTATTCCCCCTATATCGACTTTCAACACTAAACTTTCTCTTTTGGCTTGCTCCTCAAGTGTCACCATAGCCAAAGATTCTAGTGCTCAAAACACTGTCCAAGGTCTACTGAAACCTCGCTCCAAACTACACATTGGAACCTTCCGCGTACGTACCCTGTGTCAAATAGGCCAACAGGACTTCTTGGCTAAGACCCTAGAATCTCCTAACATAGATGCATGCTGCGTCTCCTAAAACCACATGCAGGACCCTGATGTGGACATAAACTTGACCTTATCTAGCTAAAGCAGAGCCGACGAGATACACCCTTAGTTTATCTGGCGACCGGACGGCAAATTCTCGTGGACTAATTGGTATGGGCATAGCACTAAGTATGTGGGCATAACAAACACTTTTAGAATGGATCCCCATTAACAGTCGCCTATGCGTTATTTGGCTAAACGGCTCTGTAAGAACTCAGAAGGATAGGGACACAAGTCGTTGCCTTTTCGTCATTTCTGCCTACGCTCCCACTGACTGCAGCCCGGATAAAGTGAAAAATGACTTTTGCAGAAAGCTTTCTGAACTTCTTCAAAAGGCTAAACACTCAGATATAGTACTCGTAGTAGGTTACTTTAATGTCCAAGTAGGTAGCTTAAACCGAACATTTAGGTGGGTATTTTGGTATTCCGGCTCAGCAAACAAATAATGGTGACCGTCTGCTGCAACTGTGCTCAGACAATCGTCTATTTATAAAAAGCACTAATCTTAAGCATACGGAGAGACATTGTCTAACATGGCGATACCCCGCACCAAACTAACGATGGACTCAGATCACATTGCCATCATCCATTGTTGGAGAGGCTCGGTAGAAAACTGACGCTCGTTCTGGAGTATATGTTTAAACTCTGATCATTCTCTAGTACGAGAGCGCAATTGCTTGTGCCTAATAAGATGCAGAAAAGCCACATCAAGAAGACCAATTAGAGTTGTACTCAGCGACGAAAAAGCGAAAGGTAGCTTCCAGCAGCAACTGAAATCACACTCAGGTAAATTCGAAAAAGAGGCTGACTTAGATGTTGCTTGGAAAGATATACGAACAGCTATAGAAACAGCAGTGATATATATTATTGATTTGAACTAAAGGGTTACGGAAAACTAGTGGATTTCTGCGACATCTACTACATTGATATACTCTCATAAACTCGTCCAATCAGCCTCCGCACACGATGAAGAGGGGAAACAAACCAGATCTAGGGCTACAAAAAGTCTACGGAACGATCGTGAGCAGTGGTGGGCAACGAAAGCAAAAGAGATGGAAAAGGCAGCGGCTGTATGTAACATCAGACAGCCTTTCAGACTAATAAAAGAAACTGGAACTAAGAAGTCAAGTGAAAGTGAGGCCCCCCGACTCTAATTGAAGTTCAAAAGGCTATAGCTAATCTGAAACGAGGAAGAGCAATTAGATTAACTCCAGAAGTCTTTAAGGATGGTAGTCCAGTGTCAGCGATTAGCTTGACTAATATTTTTGCTAAGACCTAGGAGTTAGACGTTATCCCATCTGACTGGTCACAATCACTTATCGTCCCAATATATAAGAAAGGATCAAAATCATCCTGTGGTAACCACTGACGGGTTGGCTTGACTAATATAGCGTTTAAAATACTAGCCTCAATAATTATCGAACGCCTAACAAAGACTCGTGAACTGTAAACACGAGAAAATCAGACAGGCTTCAGACCTAGTCGTGGCTGCATCAACCACATATTTGCCATTCGTCAGATTGTAGAGCACATGCATGCTTATCGGCGTTCGACAATGGTTTTCCTCGACTTAAAAGCAGCATTTGACTCCGTAACCGAGAAATTTCATCAGAGATCTACTGCTGGAAACAACGTTCTCGTCATTTGAATTTTCGGGAATAAATTTCCTACCAGAAGATCCACTCGTCGCCTTATAATATGCAGATGATGCAGCTCTGCATGGTGAAGACGCTGGTAAAATGCAGTCTTTTGGCAGCACTGAGCAACAATGCCAGGATGGTTGGGATGCTTTACTTCCTCCAAATCAAATTTTTGCTTCAGGACTGGCCTGTATCAACACCTGAACTAAGGATAGGAAGTGAAATGGTCGAACGCGTCGATAACTTCACTCATCTTGGAAGTTTGATTAGCTGTAACGGGTTGGTGTCTGACGAAATTTCTGAACCGGTTCAAAACGCTCGTTTGGCTTTTGTCAACGTCACCAATGGCGAAGGAGAGATATCCGTCCATCAATTAAGGGACGAGTATACCTCTCAGCAGTTCGTTTTTACTTTACGGCTGCGAAACGTGGCCATTAAGAATAGAGGATACTCGTAAGTTACTAGTATTTGATCACAGATGTCCTAGAAATATTGCTTGTATCTGCTGGGATCACCGGGCAAATAAAAGTGAGGTTAGACCGAATCGAGAACATAACTCTAGACTTCCCAACAGAGTATTAAAACATATTAGTCTATTCACATCAAATCGCCGTAAGAGTTTAGCTGAAATATAAAAACGAATCTAAAAATGCTTACTTTGGTAGTAATATAAACCGACCCCTTCGTTGTCCAAAAAAGAACCGACGTGATCATCAATTGCCGAGTATAGCCGGTCGACAAACGAATTAAATTCATTAGATGTTTGTTCATTTGTTGTATCAACTAATTTTCCAGCCTGATTAACCCAGACACTGAAAGCACTTGTTGCAATACCTTGACCATTACGACTAATCAGACATAAAGCACTTGTAAAATGATTTTTCTCTAATAATGTGTTTATCCCGGCTTTTTGCAGGGTTTGAATGCATTCATCATAAGATGTAACATGACTAAACTTTTGACATAAAAATAAGAGTACTTCAATAAATGCACTATGAATCTCTTCGATATATGTAGCAAACTGATCACCAAGTATTTGATGATAGAGAATATCATTTGCATTTTCATTGATCATTGCACTTGTACTAGAAACAAACTGTCTTAGTGCTTCAACTAAATGCTGTGAGGTCGATGAACCAATAAGACACGCTGATAGACATGCAGCAGCAATACGAACGAGTAAAAAGATAGTACCACTTTCTGGAGGATAATGAGACTGTCGCCAGATTATGTCTAATTTTTCTAACGGATTTTCCTTGCCTTTTTCGATGGATGCCATACACATTGGAGAATGATATGTAAGAGCAGCTGATTCGAGACAGTTTGGGGAACAGTAGTTAGCTAAGCAATTAGGACAGTGAACAGTTTGGCTACAGTGAAATGATGCCTCTGGATAAGGTAATACAAGCGACGGATTGTTAGTAAGTCTTCTAGCATTCTCCTCCGATGTTTCGAGTGGACATAAACAATGATCGCAAGCTTTATATCCATAGAGCTTGTTCCATGAAAACTGACAGCATATTAGAGGGTCTTCTGAAAAAAGAATGTCTTCAGGATTTATAAATTGAGCAGCAACAAGACCCCTTCCACGAATCGGTCCGAAATCAACTTCTTTTGTAAGATTCATTGGTTTGAACAGGCCTACTGTATAAATTAAAAAATTATTAAACATCGTTTAGACTTGAATAAACGAAACATACGCTAAGCTAAAGAGGCGTATTTCCAAATACTTGAGTTAGCACAAACTCAAAGTGGGAATAGTAAAATTAAAGTGTGGTTTCACGTATACAATTGAACATCATAATCTATACAACTCGATTGTAAAGAGAATGATCAACAGAAATTCCGCTCTGACATTATTTTATTTTGACACATAGATATTAGTACAAGGAGGCAACAAATATATATGCGCCACACAAATCTCATTCGATATGTGTGAGGGCTGTGATACTGCCCGGGCCTTCGACCTGAAGGTCTGATCCACAAGGCAGTGGAGCATCGTAAGGAGATGCAGTCCCATGGAAGCCGGTGACCAACGATTGGTTCATACGCCATTTGTTCCCGCAGGATACTGGAGCCCATGTGCACTCTGACATTCATAAGGAATGAAACACCACCGAGTAGTATAAATTCACAAATGTTATAACTAACAGCTGTATTTTTCCCTGTAAGTCTAGAAGACCGATTATTTTAGAAAGTGAAATTTATAAAGAAACAGAACTCATACTCAATAACTATGAGTGTCTGAAAATTATTTATTTGAACACATAAATATTGATACAAAGGGGCGCTGAATACATATGTGCCACACAAGTCACTTGATTTGTGTGTGAGCTGTGATACTTCCTGGGTGCCCGAAACGAAGCAGATGGTCTACTTGGGGGGAGGCGCACTTGGAGCCTTCGATTTGAAGGACTGATCCACAAGGCAGTGGAGAAACATCAGGAGATGCAATCCTATGGTAGCCGGGGACCAACAATCGGTCCGTACGCCATTTGTTTCCTCAGAATCCTGGAGCCCATGTGCACCATTGGTTTGGAATCAGGGTTTGGGTCCTCCATATTCATCAACCTGGTTAAAGCGCCGGACATTCGCTTTTCGTCCTCACAATTCCTTAAACAACACCCATGGTGTGAGAGCATTTCGAGAAGGAGAGCGCACTTACCCCACCCTCGGCCGTACCAAGGCATTTGGGGCGTCTAAAAATAACGTTGGCCTTGTATCTAATCTAACTTTAAAATTAGCATGTAGGTAGTAAAAAAAACTTACATTAAGAGTCCGTATCCGTAAAAAAGGTTTTAAAGTAATTTTACGATGGCTTGACGATTAAATCTCTTGATCTTCAACCATGTTTTGATATTTAGACAGTCAATTAGCTTTAAACGAGTACATGAACCAAGTTGGGTTTGCATGATTTAGAAACTAGTTCGTCTCGTGTGTGAATCCTAACCAGTACATATTGGTAACCCAGAGACCCTGATTGATATAAACGATGACCATTCATATTAACACTGGGACACTTGTTCTTTATATTGCCATGAATTCCCGATTTTAATATTACTCCACTTTTTACTGAGCAAACATAATCTAAAATTTCGAACAGTGCAGTTTTGCTACGTATGATTTTCACTAGAGAAGCACTGTAATGTAAATTCTTATAAAAAATTGTTATATCGAAATATATGACTATAGTCATGCTTAAGTGAACTTCAGTAATGTATAGCTTAATAACGTACCCAAAAGTGACTTTACAGATCTAAGTTACGTGCGGAAAAAAGTACTTGAATTTGTGTTAGAATTAAACACCAAAGTGAGTTTTAGCTAATCCATACTTGTTAACGTTTGTAAACTATGTAACAAATTTGTGAGGATATACGTCACTAATTTGTATATAGGGTTTCATGGCTGTGAACTTCGTTAAGATCTTTTATAAAGTAACTGGCTTATTTACGACCGCCTCTACTTTAGTCCCAGTAACGCTTAACTCATAAACCCCTCTCAAGTTTTTGGAGCTAGTAAATCTTACTATCCTTAGATAAAGTTCATCTTTAAACACGGAAACCAAGACGACCGGCGAAGGTTATATAAACTATTCCACAACATCGAATCACACTAGGGTTCTACAACGGCTTCGACAGAGAATGATGCCGAAGCCACTATGGATGCAGCACAAATGCCTGGAGCTTGCTCAATAAGCGATCGGAACTAGGTGTACAGAATGACTCTAGCAAGTTAGATGTAATCGCAGACGTAGAAACTTGGCTGAAGCAATGTTTAGTTAGTAAGGAACTTGGTTTTGAAAGTTTCACTTTAGTATGAGCCGACAGAATTCCGAAATGTAAATGAGAAGGAGTGTAGGGCCAGTGAAATGTCACTGAGCCCTAGCCAAATCATCCGGCAGTTGGATCACTGAATGTCGAACAGATCATCGCTCCCTGCCAAGGTCATGTACAAGAAACGCGCATTAGTTAATCATACGCCATGGACTGGCCCATGCGGCAGTGGTCTTACTTTCGCTTGTATCTACTTTAATTAATATATTTCTGTAATAACGTCCTTTGTGTTGTACAGTCTTCAAAGCATTTATAGTACCTTGTTACGTCAATGGGGGTAGTCCACGTAAGGTGCTGACCACGAGGTGTGACTTCGACGTTAGTTGGTTCGTCACACTATTCACGTCTAACTCGAGTCGGCCTCCAATCATTTCGACATAGATCATCTACGTTGGTGATCTACACTGGTGAGCAAGACTTCGAATAACGCAACCTATCACTATAATCTTTATTATTGTACTCTATACTTATTCTTTTTCATTTTTATCATCGCCTATGTTAATCTGTTACTGTGAACTTTCGTTGCTTCATGTCAATGTTGATTAGCATTTAAACCTAGATAATTCGTTCAATCGACAGAACTAACCAATCAACTACGATTATAATCGGCTATCGTGGTTCTTTAACAAGCATTAGCAGCATGTAAATGCTCCTGTGTAATATGTCTGTTAAAATATCAACCACTCGTGAGTATAGCCACAAGGCAACACGAACGCATATCTCTTTGTACCTTATCCACTGGTATAAATAAGACAAGATTAACTATCGACTATAAATTCATCTTTCTGCTTAACCATTATCCACTAGAATGTTCTGCTTTTTTTTACCACTGCCTGCCTAATTTCCAATTGCTGAGTTCCATGGCCAAACAGAGGATACGGATGCTAGAAATTCACGGTGAGTTTGAACTATAAATTTCCTGCGATCTTAGATCTCGTTTAGACTGTTCGTCAGAGTAATGCTATGTATTCGGCTTAAATTAATTCTGGACTTATACCGATTCAGTCTACAATGCTGTGTTAATCGAAAAATTTAATCAACAGTACCTCGTACACAATCCAGATTCAAACTACTGCCTACTTCATATCTTCATTACTTAGAGGCAAGAGTAACCCAGGCAAGTTTCATAATTTCATTAGATTATTTCGCACTATATTTATGATGCGTGATAACATTTCGTAGTTGTTTTCACGTAAACCAGTCATATATTCTGTCACTGCCGTCAAGTTTTAGTCGAAATCATGTACATTTATGACTCGTTAGTCGACATACTGTGGTAAAACATATTGCATGTACACGAGCACGCTTAGTCCATGTCCCAAGTACACACGTTGTCGTACTTAATATGTCACTTAACGCTAGGTAATAAGCTCTTTGTATCAGCCTTTTACGAAACGGCCACGTTACCTGGACCCTCTAAACCTTAGTTACATTGGTGGTTACCATTTTAATTAATGTTTATTATACCCTTTGTATTTGCTATTAATTCACACGGTAAATCATGGCTCGATTTCCTTATTACACGACAGTCATTTCAATTCTATTTTCGGTTTATTTACATGCCATACGGGTTTGGAAAATATCTAAACGTCCTCGACAATTCCCCACGAACCCAACCATAGTTTTCGTATATGTTTTTATTCACACATCCAACTGTTACGCTAATCATACCTAAACGAACGTTCAGTGCAACTGTCAGTATACGTAAGAACGATGTTATTTAGACTTGACATTGTAACACATCTGAACTATTGTAGTTGTTCTACTTCGATGTCGTACTTCATTTTATGAAGTATTGTTTCCTCGTGGCTGTTAATTAACAGATGATTCCGGTACATCAATAGGCTGTTCAACTACTCGACGATTTACAACCTGTCCAGTTCAATTGGTGGTCTGACGACAATATCATTCGCGCGAATCACCAGTTTATGCAGTCGAGCGAATCTCCTGCAAACTGAAAACGATATTGTCGCCTCTATCCCAACACTGACAGCGTTTTTCACGGGTATCATTGACATGAGTCCAGAGTGACACTCTTGGTTTCTTATGTTCTTTTCGATATTTTTCTGTTCACTAAGCGAACAAACACGCGGCATTCACCGTTTATCATCTTTTAGAGACTTCATCGTGCCACTTTTGCTGTCGATTTGTAGCCTTCAACCCTTACTGACTGTAACAGCAGTCATCGACTTTTCAAACTGTGACTACAAGTTGGTCAATAGCTTCGCACAACGAAATCACGACCACTCTTCACTGTTATACTTCTGTACTTACGGTTAGTCTGTTAGATATAGATATAACTAGAATTTGACACTAATTAATAGCTGTCAACGACACTGTTCGACTTACAACTTCAAACTAATGACAGTACAAATATGGATATCGATTGATAATACACTTATCCTACTATCGCTATAGCATCATTACTCTTGCGGCAGACTTAACGTTTGTCATCGGAGGAACTGAATTACTTGTCAAGGCTATATATTTCAGCGCGACTTGATAGAACAATAAAACGTTTTGTTCTTTTCATTATTTCTATGGTTAATCAATTTACGTTTAAGCAACGTCCTACTAACATATTATGACTCGCTGTTTCGCGACCAGTTTCTGCCGCCTCCTTTCCATTTGTTTTACAGATAAGCAATACCTGGAGGATTTATAATATTCGTCTGGCACTCTCCGGCGTGCGACTGCTCCCAACATGTTTGGTACCGATTCAAACGGCCGCTGAATCTGGTGGGGGAGTATTGTAGGGCCAGTGAAATGTCACTGAGCCCTAGCCAAATCATCCGGCAGTTGGATCACTGAATGTCGAACAGATCATCGCTCCCTGCCAAGGTCATGTACAAGAAACGCGCATTAGTTAATCATACGCCATGGACTGGCCCATGCGGCAGTGGTCTTACTTTCGCTTGTATCTACTTTAATTAATATATTTCTGTAATAACGTCCTTTGTGTTGTACAGTCTTCAAAGCATTTATAGTACCTTGTTACGTCAATGGGGGTAGTCCACGTAAGGTGCTGACCACGAGGTGTGACTTCGACGTTAGTTGGTTCGTCACACTATTCACGTCTAACTCGAGTCGGCCTCCAATCATTTCGACATAGATCATCTACGTTGGTGATCTACAGGAGTAACTCTATTTATTAGGAATATTATCCCATCTGCCATTATCGACAGTGTATCTCATGATGTTGGAACGTATGAATTAGTTGATTTCCGCTTGAAATGCAAAGGACAAGATCTGCTGATTGATTTGGTCTACCGCTTTTCAGTTTATGAGGTAAATGAGGTCATGATAGGCAGTCTCAACCCTAGGAAAATTTGATGCACTCACTATAGACAAGAAAAATCTGAGAACCAAAGTGTCAGAAAATTCATTCGAGCAGAGTTTAGTTAATGGGGATATCGCATGTGCCCTAGTGCAACATGTGAAAGAAGCGACTAGGTACGACCCGGACTCTGAATCATCCTTACTATATCTTATATTGACTCATTATGAGGATGACGTCACGAACCACTATTACATGCCACCCCTAAGTAAAATGATCAAGCAGTTCTAACCTTTGACTTCCATACAGTTGTCAAAAACGGGCACGCGTCAGCTCAATCCAGACCCAACGTCTGGAAAGCAAATATACAAAATATTATACACAGCGTCGTCAGTAGATTGGACAGTAGATCCAGAGTCCCCCAGTTGAAACAGATTAGAGTGTATTTTAAAATTTATAGTTAAAAGTTACCGCACTCCACATGCCTTGGATTACATCAAGGGGTCCGAGAAGCTCTTCACTATGGCTTAGTAAAGAGGTTCGCACCCTTCCTCATAAGAGAAGAATGTGGGAAAGGTTTAGGTTACTGGGTAGTGACGAGACAAAATCTCAATATCGAGAAGATCGAAATACTTGTGTCTCTACCATCCGTAATTCTACCATTATTAGCTTTATTCAATATCACATTTCAGGTTCAATATAGAATTCCCAGCATAAAGTATTTCAACAAGTTTCCATTTCTTATTTTTTGATCAATCCTGACGATAAATATTGAGTAATCATTAATTAGATGCTAGCAGTTCAGGAATCGGCATATGGGTAATGTACATTCTTTTCGATATATATTGCCAGCAACCACAATGTCTCTGATCGCGCTCTTTTCTAACTTGTACAGCGAAAGGTCGTGGAGTTTTCACAAACACACCTGGATATGTTTTGCAATTAAATGACGTAATGACCTGTTGAAAGAAACAAAAGACAGATAACTTTGTAGGGCCAGTGGAATGTCACTGAGCCCTAGCCAAATCATCCGGCAGTTGGATCACTGAATGTCGAACAGGTCATCGCTCCCTGTCAAGGTCATGTACAACCAACGCGCATAAGTTAATCGTGTACCATGAACTGGCCCATGCGGCAGTGGTCTCACTTTCGCTTGTATCTACTTTAACTAACATATTTCTGTAACGACGTCCCCTGTGTTGCACAGTCTTCAAAGCATCTGTGGTACCTTGGTATGTCAATGGGGTAGTCCACGTAAGGTGCTGACCATGAGGTGTGACTTCGATGTTAGGTAGTTTGTCACACCATTCACGTCTAACTTGAGTAGGCCTCAATCATTTTCGACATAGATCATCTACGTCGGTGATCTACAACTTGTTGAAGTATCTAGATGCAGGTACAGGTAGCCCAGATATTCAAGCGGGCCACGTAGAAGGTTGTACAGAGAAAAAAATTGTTAAGGAACCCATAGAATGCCCTAACCGTTTGTACTCCTTTATAAACCAGAGTATTCAAGCATTATGGGGTGACCATATTGCTTTATCATTAGTGGAGGAGGACTATCTTAAATCTCAAGTATTCTGAAGCTGTATATACCTTAGAAACACCCTTCCTGTCAGTATATACAAATCACCTCATGCACACTGAACAACGTGACCATAAGAGAAGCTGATCCTTTTTATCTGCTAAATAAGCTTGATAAAAGCAAATCCACAGGACCCAATGAAATTCATTCTATGTGAATGCCCTTCCTCATCTCCTATTATCGTCGGTCTTGCTACATGCTGACGATGTCAAGATATGAAGAGCGATAGAAAGTAAATGTGGTAGCTTAGAGCTTTAAGATGACATGGAGAAGTTGTTTGAATTATCTCAAACTTGTTAGTTGCCGATTAATACTTCTAAGTGTATTTTCATGCATATTGGTCATCAAGGTTCAGATACATACATAGTGAATAACACTGAGCTACTTGTTGTTCAGATGCGCAATGACTTAATAATAATAATAATTTATTCTCAAACAACAGTTTGTTACATGAGGCATGCCAGTTTACAGGCAAGATCAAATTGTTACTAATGATACAATATCCATTGTAGTAAATTACTCAGCTGGGTTGATAATTTAAAAGATATGAATGTAGATGGTTTTAGTCAGTATCCCAGTTGGCGCGCTTCATGAAAGTTGCGTTGCGAATATGCAACTGATGGTCAACGATAGGTCCATTGAAGGTGGGAGCTTCTAGAAACTGCAACCTTATGTCCCTTTGAAATATCTAAGGCTTTAAGGATGGTGCAGGATGAAGTCACCCGTTCCATATCTCAAGGGGGCTGAAAGAGGGAGCAAGTAAAAGGAAGGACGAGAGGAAGAGTAGCCAATATTCATGAAGGAATGTTTAAGGTATGATTACTCAGTCTAATTCTCTTTTATTAAGGTATTTGTTAAGCAAGAGAATTTTAATAGGTTAAAGAAAATAAGTGTAAACAAGGTATTAGTGGACATACAACTGACAAATGGAGGCGATTCAGAAAGGAGCTGAGAGTATGGGATTATGTGTGGTTATAAAATATAGTGTGAAAAACACCATTGTGATATACAATTGACTATCTTCCTTTTTTTATCGAAGCTGCTGGAGCCCATTTTTCATCTTCTTTTGTATTATCATTATTATTTTTTTCGGGTATCATAGGGTTTTGAGTAGGCTTCGTATATTATTGAATTGTCTAGTTTGCTTGTAATAGGATTGTAGAATCCAAACTACGGTTTGGATGTTGAAGAATAGCCTACCGGGGACTTTAGACACGCGCCCTTTCCCGTCGAAATCAGAACAAGTAATCGGGTAACTAGCGGTTCTATAATTCATAATAAATTTAATGTAAATCATTACCTAAACAAATATTATCACCCGGCTATTCAACCAATGATTGTTCAATCAATTAAATCTAAATTATAATAAATAAAGAAGTTGATAGAAGATGAGGAAAAATTACCAATCACAACAAATCAACGTTATTCTATCCTGGCTGGATAGATCACACACAACAGGAGGAACAAATCAATATGGCTACCGCCAAGAACAAGTGTCAGTAAAACAACGCAGATGCAGTTCAGGAGGAAACAGAAACTTAGTGAATGATTAAGGAAAACAAAAACTATAATAAAAATACAAGTATTAACAATTCAAATGTAACCAAAATACAGCAATGTACAATAGGAACAAAGTACAAGTATATACATGGAGGGATTTTCACCAACACACAAAACATTCAAAATGGATCTTTTACCGGCCCCCAAAATCCCTCCATATCACACAAGCTACCTTGATGTCTACGGTCATGGTTCATTATATAACATATCACACCACAGGAACGAGTAGGACTTACAACAGTACGCCTACTCGACCTAACTACATTATTAACAACAAAGACTAATCCAAAGCTTCAAGGAGACCTGCTTCACCTGTTCTTTGGTGATCAACGATAACAGTCGTGATATAGACCTAATAACTCTTCCCCAAACTCCACCCATGCTCTTGGATGAGGGCCTCGCTGACAATTCAATGTTTATCTTCTGATTCGACTGCTGCATAAACTTGCTTAACTCAGAAACTGTCACCACGAAGCTTGACGCACTGACACTGTAAATCTCTGGAGGTTTCCTTCTTCTTCCAATAAAACGTAATAGAGCCATTAAAAATGAATCAGTAATCAAATTACACATCATTTCAATATGTACTGCCCATGTTTGCAGACAAGTAAACACATATCCATACCCTTTTTCTAATGATCTTCCTATGTGTCCTTGTTCTTTATGACAATGTCTAACTATCATTTCCGTCACTAAGTGTTGACTGGGTAAAATTACTGGATGTTTAAAAGCATTTGGGAAATCTGAGTATCTTAGTCGACCTCCAACGCAGAGTAACCCATCAAGCATCATCAACGATAAACCTTTCAGATCATCATGGCTTACTACTTTACTGCTGTTTTTAAATTCACTAAGTAATTCTCCATACACTTCTCTCTGAACCATCAATAAAATCCTACGCCTGGCAATCTCAAGTTCTTTGACCTTTAAACATCCTAGATGAACGGATCCTTCACAACTCGGTAAACGAAGTACCATCAGGAATTCGATGAACCTTCTAAACCAGGTCACAGCTCTGACTAATTTCATCCACTCGGAATAATAAGAGAGAACAGGTGTCATGTTGTACTTTATACTACTCAAGTTAACCACAGCAGTTCTTCTAAACTCAATATCGTCAGGAGTAGGTTCCGTACAGTCAGTGATTGTTGTACAGAATTCGCCATGCAGTAAGGTAGGACATTTGAACCAAGATTCAAGATCGGTCATTTTTTGTATACTTCCTTTACATAATAATTCACTTATATGCTTAACGAAACTCTTTGCTTGATCACAAGTGGGAATGGATATCAAGCAATCATCAGCATAGAAATTATTCTTGACATCATCTACAACATAACCATCATAACCGTCAAAGAATATTTGGGTCGTCTTGTTCAAGGCAAAGTTCGCACGAAACGGCGAGGATGTGGCATCAAATGGATGGGATGTCATTTGAAACTCGGATGGTTCCCTTGACATGTCTCCCTCCTGCCACCACAGAAATCTTGAAGCTCCTCGATCAGACTCAGGGACCTTCACTTGCATGAACATTTCTCCAACATCTGCAGGGATTGCAACTGCCTCCTTGCGAAAACTTATTAATATACACCTTAACTCAGCAGTGGTATCGGGTTCTTGATAAATCATATCATTTGGGGGAACCCCTGCAAGCTGGGCGGCACAATCAAGGACCACTCTAAGATCTGGTTTTTTCATGTTTAATACTGCACGGTGAGGTAAATACCATCGAGGGCGATAATAAGACTGCAGATATATTTCAAAGACCCTCTCCGCATAAGTCTTAGTAAAATCACTTTCAGTACTTTTGATATACTTGATGTGCAGACTGACATCCTTCGACAACATACCCTTCAAACCTTGTAATCTACGGTTTGCTACTTCATAGTTATCCACTTCCATATCTGGATTCTTTTTCCAAGGTATAGAAACTACAAAATGACCGTTGCCGAAGCGCATGCCACCTTCCACAATCTTTATAGCCACCTTGTCGTCTACTGATAATGATTTATCACTTGAATAAGCATCTGAAAACTCTACGTCATAAGGCTTACGTATTTCGTTCTCTAATGTCTATATCTTACTGGTATGATTAACAACTCTTTTCCTATATTCCGGGCATGATGGCTTATCATTTACGACGTTGCTTGTCGAGTCAGTGTGCAGCAGAGCGTGATGTCTCCTCTCACAACTGTCAACGTTACAGAGCCTTGTCATCTTACATTCATTAACCTTATGTCCTTGTCTAAGACAGACGAAACAAATGCCTTTGCTTTTAGCGTGAGACCATCGGTCTTGAACTGTATGCGCTAAGAACTGTGGACATTTATAAATAGCATGGTCGCAGGAACACATACTACATTTAGTTTTCGCTGCCGAACTATTCCCTTGCTCCGATTGCACGTGACAGTTCGTCTTTACGTTATGCCTTTTTCGTGAACGATTTGCTAACCGTCCAAATCTACTACAAGCCACTCTCGCACGCGATGCGATAAACTGAGTGAGTTCGTCAAAGGTCGGCTCTCTATCATCTTCGGTCAATTTATCCACCCAGTCCGCCCACTGGGCTTGCATAGGTTGGGTCAAGAGTCTCACTATTCTTTCCAAAGTAACTAAGGAATTTAGATCAGAGGTATAATTCATCTGTTCCAAGACCATAGCACAGTTTTCCATTTTAATAGCCAAGTTTGATAGTTGCTCCCCGTCAGTATAATCAAAATTCACAGCATTGAATAAGTCTTCTAATGTCTCTCGAGCGATTACATGAGACTGTCCAAACAAACGTTTAAGGATTTCCCTTGCCCTCCTGTAACCGGAGGATGCGTCCATCATGACACAACCCTCAATAGCTCTTTTCGCCTTGCCTTTACAATAGTGCATTAAATAGAGCAAACGTTGGCTATCATCAGTGACTCTTGACGCTACATAGGTCTCAAATTGCCTTATAAATATCCAGTATCCTCTTGGCCGTCCATCTAAATAACTCAATTCAACCTTTGGTAGTTCTAGACCAACAACAGGCGCTATAGGCAAAACGCTTCTTCCTGATAATTCAAGCCTTTGCTTCTCCTTTAAACTAAGATTTTTTACGTCATCTGTCATCGAATTAAGACTAGAGTCATTACCATGATAATCAACCCTATTGGAGTCTGAACCATGACACTTAAGGACATCAAAAGGCACTTGCTTGATAATAGGGGATTCTTCATTAACATCAACGAACTTTGAACTTGATTTCCTTTGACGATTAGCTGGCATTATAAACGAAACGACCAAATACTTCCAGAAACGATAATCAAATCCGCGAACGATTGCCAAACGAATTCGGCCAATTAATAATTATTTAGAACTGTAGAATCCAAACTACGGTTTGGATGTTGAAGAATAGCCTATCGGGGACTTTAGACACGCGCCCTTTCCCGTCGAAATCAGAACAAGTAATCGGGTAACTAGCGGTTCTATAATTCATAATAAATTTAATGTAAATCATTACCTAAACAAATATTATCACCCGGCTATTCAACCAATGATTGTTCAATCAATTAAATCTAAATTATAATAAATAAAGAAGTTGATAGAAGATGAGGAAAAATTACCAATCACAACAAATCAACGTTATTCAATCCTGGCTGGATAGATCACACACAACAGGAGGAACAAATCAATATGGCTACCGCCAAGAACAAGTGTCAAGTAAAACAACGCAGATGCAGTTCAGGAAGAAACACAAACTTAGTGAATGATTAAGAAAAACAAAAACTATAATAAAAAATACAAGTATTAACAATTCAAATGTAACCAAAATACAACAATGTACAATAGGAACAAAGTACAAGTATATACATGGAGGGATTTTCACCAACACACAAAACCTTCAAAATGGATCTTACAAGGATTGCTGGGTATGAAGTGAAACCAATTCAACGTTTGTAACACGATTTAATGAGGTATTTTGCATGATAAATCAGCATTAATACCTTAAGTTAGAAGTCATCGTTAGCCAAGATTTGAGAACTGCTGCACTCTGCCGTGCGATAGCTGTCAAAGGTTTAAAGACCTTAGGGTCAATATTTAGAGCCTTTAGTCATGTCGACACTAAAACGTTTTTGACTTTGTATACAGTACTTTTGTGTCCTAAACTTGAGTACTGCACATAAAAGGCTAGCTCCCGTTTGAAAGAGACAGCGAGCTTTTGGAAAAGGTTCAGAGAACCGCAACCAATGTGATTCCCAGAATAGCGAAGCTCCTGTATCATGTTCAGCTGGCTAAACTAAACCTATGCAAATTGTTATATCGAATAATTAGAGGCAATTTGATTACGGTTTTCAAATTATTTAGTGACAAATTTGCATCTGATATGCTCTCATTTTTCTTGTTTTGAAAGACAGAGAACCTACGAGGACACTCATAGAAAGTTCAGAAGCCCAGAACAAATTACTTGTCAGCTGACCATCGACTTTCCCATCGAATCATCAACTAGCGGAATTCATTACTTCAACACCTGATTGAAGCTACATCCGTCAACACTTTTAAACGAAAGTTGGATCAACTGAGAGATCATCATTTCCAGGACTAACACAGGTCATTAATCGTCCTGTTCTTTCCGAACTGAAACTGTTAAGATAGGCTATGAGTCAGTAAACTTTTGATGAGGGCCTTTTTAAAAAACTCTTTCTAATTAAGGTTCCACAAAAAGTGTAAGTGGTTCTTCTTTCACTCCCAAAACTGCTATAAATGAACTGGCTGTATCTGCTGATCGGCTTCTGAAGATCACTAGAGCCTCCACCATGGACTTTTTTTTATCACAGAGAAGTCTTAGTTAACACTAAACGAAGCTGTGATACTCACATTTATTTTACAAACTTTCATCGTGGTCGCTTGCGATCTGGAGCTTCTCAAAGAAGTGCGCCATCTAAAACGATTGTTTCCTTGTCGCGAGAAACAAATGACCAAAATTAGTTTTGGCACCACAACATCAATGATTAATCTTCTAGAGATTACAGGAAACTACAGTTTCCACTAATTCAAAGCTTCCTCCACAAAAAGCTTTTAAGAAAGTCTTTCACCGGCACGCATTAACGGTAGCTGTCTGGCATAAGTACGAATGTTCACTATCTGGTCGATACAGGGGGCACGCGAATACTAATGATTGTCTGCAAGCCACAGTCGTCAAATTGCTGATGACAAATAGAAAACCGATTATTGCGCACGGTAAAAACATGTTAACATTAGCTTTCGTCTACCTAGACTCATTTACTAGATTTTTGTCGTCACAGGCGTTTCTATGCCGGTCAGTGACATAGATCTTCTACAACACTATAATATACCCGTCGATAAGTGCAAACGGAGATTTTTGGGAGGACATGCTAAATTGTCTGTCTGTGGGATTACACTTTCTGGTTGTAGGTTATGTCTGATCACTTTTGAACACAATAAACATTAATAATGTCGGATCGGAATGGACCCCGTCTAGTTTCTCGATTATACGCTTGATGCTTAAAGTGAGTAATGAATGCAAATAAAGAAAAGACAAAGTAGAGCTCATTATGGGTTACCAAGAACCAACCACAGTCAAGCAGCTATTGACGTTCAACCGCCTGGTAAGTTTTTATCAACATTCTGCACTAGATTTGCAGTCTGTTACAGGACTCCTTGTTACGGGAGAACTGAAGACATTTGACTGATTAAAACCTTTATATTAAATATTATTAATTTTACTGTGTTTTTGGATGTATTTATTTTATTTCTGAACTTGTTTGTTTATATCATTATTTCGGATATTTTGGTTTCGCTTTGTCTCTGGTTTGGCATTTGGGGGTTTTTGCTCCGAGAACCTACAAAATTGAAGGTTTGTTTTGCAAATGTTATAATTATTGTTGTTAGAACGACATTTGGGTCGACTATTTGTAAATTGCGAACAAACTTTGATACCTAAATTAGAGTTTGGTTCTATTATTAGTTTGGGTTCGTGAATTGCAAATAGATCGATATACCGTACTTCAATAACGAGAACGAGCAAAAACTTGGACGTGACACTCTTAACAGAGAAGCCCTTTTTCAGCCCTCTCAAGCGATGCTACTAATAACGCATATGGATTGGGTTACTTTGTCCCGCTCCATTAGGTACTTCAGATATTCCAGAGGGATATAAGGTTACAGTTTATATTAGGTCTCAAATTTACGTGGATTTACTGTCAGTTGCACGTCGCGTCGCAACCTCC